GGCTTCGGGTTCTATGGGACTCTGGCAACGAGGACAGCGGCGGCGCGCGTTGACGGAGACTGGCCGGAGTGAACTCCGGCGGATGTGGATTCAACTTGTTCATGTTTTAAGAATGTGGGGTTTTTTGTGAGAATTTGATAAAATTCAGGGACTGTATTGTAATTTATAAAATTTTAATATATTTAAATTGAGTACATGTGGTCAATCTGTCATATAATAAAAGTTTAATAAATGCACAACAACATTATATAAATTGCACATTATCTTGTGAGAAATTGCACATTAAGAATTGATCTAATCTTGTCAAAATTTGAACAAATGAACATATCGAGATCTCGTCACAATACAAACTAAAATTGAACCGACATAACGATTAAACCGGGATAACCAAAATAAATTATTATGTGTATTATTAAGAATCATATTTAGTATTTTAATATTTTTTATTAGTAATTTATATTTTGTTTGATTGCAAAAAAATACATATGTAAACAAAATATAATGTGCAAGTTGTCAGTTGTCAATGTGCGATTCGTATAACGCTATGGTGCGAGGTGTTGGTCGGTATTGTGCAGGATGAATCGACCGGACTTTTTTGTCATAAATCGGATGACGTTTAACATAATTATTTGATTTATTCGGTCTAAGTAATTATCCTAACTTATTAAATAGTTTTTTGTTTATATTAAAATTATATTAAGTATGTTAATAATTTAATTTATTATTTTTATATTATTTTTGGTTGAAAACAAATAATTTACGAAATACCAAAAACGATAAAGTGCAAGCATACTGGTAACGCAAAACACTCCGACCGGCTTGAAATCAGCTTGCCTCCGTCTTCCTCGCCGGTAGAACGTCGCGTTCCTGCACAGAACTCTCACACCGGAGGGGTTTTCCGGTGAAGAGCCTCCGATGCTTAAGTCAGTATGTGTTTGTTCAATTTTCCAAAGTAAAGAATGGATAAATCGTAAGTTACAAGAAAAGACCCACTCCCATATATATAGGAGTGAGATACCTGCCCTAGAAACTGCCCGGCTTTTGGTGAGCTGTCCTGCCCGTACTGCCCGTCCGTACACACATAGTGTGTGTGTGTGTCAGAGATGTCAGGGGTGGTTTTCGCCACTATCACTCTGCACCAATATATTCTCTCCACGTGTCCCTCTGAGCTGAAGGAGATTATTCTTCCGCGCAGGCCGTTGAGATCTTCTAACGTCATCCACGCGCCTTCTCGCGTTCAAGCCACGCTCTAGACTGCTCTTCACCTGTTGAGTGCTCGATCTCCTCCCTTTTGGTCGATCCTCGATCAGTTCTGCTATTCTGCTCGATCTCCTCCCTTCTGGTCAATCCTCGACCAGTTCTGCTACTCTACTCGATCTCCTCCCTTCTGGTCGATCCTCGACCAGTTCTGCTACTCTACTCGATCTCCTCCCTTTTGGTCGATCATCCTTCTCCCAATCCGGTTTTCTCCACTTCGAGGTTGCTCGACCGATGATGCAAACTGGTCTATTCCTCAGCTATATAATATCCCAATCATCTAGTCCCCCCCACTCTGGTCGAGTCTGAATGACTCGATCTAAGAGTGGATTCGAGCTGTCCTCTCCATTCTGTCAATCCTCTCGATCTCCCACTCGCACCTGGCCTCTTCTCTCGATCATTTTTGTTGATGTTGCCGCCTTTCCTCGACCACGTGGTCCATTTTAATGCACACTATAACTGTTGTTTATTTCTTTTTATTATCAGCATAATCTCCGCCTGCCATATGTCCTTTCCGTTCAGTTCCTTTAATCATCGTGCCTCCTCGCGATTTGTGCCGCCTCGCTATTTGTACCTCTTTAATTTTTTCTACTGTTGGATCTTCTTTTATCTAACGGTCATCTCCCCTAACTCTTCACCTTATTCACCTGTACCCCTATAAATACGGTACTTAGTCAATTTTTCAGCTTTTCTCACCTTTGCAATCTTCTACATACTTGTGCCCTAATTTCTTCCTCTGCAAACTGCGCTCCCCTGCTCTTCGGCGTTTTCGCTCCTTCAGTTTCAGGCTTTTCTCAGCGATCACTCTCCACTGCAACCATGAGTAAGTCTTCTGTGCTTCAATTTATATTTGTGTGCATTTGTTTTGTTAAATTTTCCGATTTTCTCTATTGTTTCTCCTTTTTCCCAAATCCCTCTCGTCTTGTCTGTGGCAAAAAACCTCCTTCTTTGCTTTCAAAAACCCTAACTCCTATTCTTTCTTCCTCTCACTTCTTCGTTCTGCTTTTCAGATTCCGCTGATTCTCACGCACCAAACCACCACTCTGTTGAAGACGAGATCACCACATCATCCTTCCCCGCTCATCGGCCTATTCCTCACTCACCTTCCCGCTCTATCGAAGAGATCTACAATCCCACCCCTATCAGCGTTTTACCCCCTTCTGGCTGTGCAATCTCCTCTCCTCCTCGCCAACCTAATCATTTGATCGACGAATCAAATGGGGATACTCTTGACCACATCCCTCTTAATCGTCGTCGACCGGCGTTTGGGGCTTCTGACGCTGCTGAAGAGGCTCTCGATGCTGCCGAAGCCGCTGCTGAGGAGGACGAAGATAATATCCCCTCTTTCGATCTTCCGTTTTTGCTTGGGTTATCCCTTCGACTGCTGCTATACCTTTCGCCTCTCCCCCCAAGAAGGGTAAATTGGTCAGGGCGTCTACTTCTTCTAGGAAGACTTCTTCCTCTTCTCGCTCCCTCATAGCTGGCTGGCTAGATGCCAAAGAGGTTGGCTATCCTACCAGCTGGGCTTTCGTATCTCCCGGCCCCCGAGATACCTATGACAACCCTCCCAAAAACTGCTATACCTTCTTTGAGATCCAATTTAAACTTGGCGTCTGTTTTCCCTTAAGCCGCGATTTGGTTGACCTTTGTAAGTGGTTCGACCTGCCCTTGAACCAACTTCCACCTAACGCCATCCGTTTTATCACTGTCTTCATCATCCTCTGCCACATCCGTCTAGGCCGGCTTGACCTGGACTTCTTCCACTACTGCTATACACCTTCCAAACATGCTCAGGGGATCTACCTCAAGAGCCGCAACGATGTCCATTTCATTTCGGACACTCCCGCAAACGTCCCCAGGTGGAAAGACAAGTTCGCTTTTGTCGAGCCTAAACCTGCTTTCCCCTGGGCGTCATCTCCTTGGCTAAAAGAACTACCGCGCGAGTATTCCGTACCTTCTACCAACGCCCTTCTCGATCAACGGATTGCGGTTTGGAACAGCAAACCCGTCGCGTCGAAGACTTTGCTCGAGGACGAGAACCTCTTGCATTTCTGCGGACTACTTACCCATAAATCTTGTCCTCTTCCCAGCCAGAAAACCCTCGATCAAATCCGGATAGAGGGTGACCCAGGTATGTGTCGTCATCGAACAGGCTCGAGTATTATCGCGTTTGTTTCACATCATTATGTTTGTTCCACATATTATTTATCTATCATGGCTTTAACTTATGCGTAAATTTTTTTGCAGAGATGCCCGCCATCTCTGTTCCCAGGAGGAAAGCTCCTTTGAGGAAGAAGCAGGTCGCTGAGGGGTCAGGCTCCAAGCCCGCTGACTTGACCACCTCCCAATCCGTACGCTCGACCTCCCCTCCTCCGGGCATAACTGTCGAGCAACCCTCTTCGCTCAATTCTCCAACTGAGCAGCCCATCGAGCAGTCAGAACAGCTCGAGAAGCCGTCCTCTCCACCGTCATCGTCTCCTCCGCCGCGCTCTCCTTCGCACGACCAGACCACCACAGTCATATAGATTCCCGCTTCTCCGGAGCAAACTCGGCTCGTGGAGAATCCACTTAAGCGCCCCTCTGCTGAGGGGGACGAAAATGCCGGCAAACGGCGTCGTGTCGGGGAGACCTCCCTCTCGATCACCTCGTTCGACGGTCCGAGGTTCTCGAATTACCTCAGGGATGTTCTTCCCTCTGTCGACCACCCTACCGATCGTTACAATGACGGTCACACCCTTCGAGACCGGAGTGATCGAATTTCCCGATGGCTGGCTCAGGTAACTTAATATCACCTATTTGTTTTATTTCATATCTTCCCCTCGTTAGTGCTCTAATACTTTCTCTTATGTGTCCTTGTAGGGCCTGGTCGAGCTCGCACCGCTAATCGAGCAAACGTTAGCCAGCCCGGGTCGATCCATCCCCGCCCTCGAGCGGAGTAATCTCCAGCTCGGTACTCGGCTGGATGAGATGGTCGTCAAGGCCAATGCCCTTCACGAGAGGCTGAAGGAGTCGGCCGCTCGGAATAAGGCTCTCTCCGCCGAGAATGAGACGCTCGAGGGGGCCGTGAAATCCTTCGAGGAGGCCCTCGCAACTGAGCGAGCGGAGATAGAGGCTCTCCTGGCCTCCAAGAAGGCCCTCGAGGCTGCGCTCGAGGAGGAGAAGTTAGCTCGGGCACGCGAAAACGTTGCTTTCGAGCAAAGGGCTAAGCCCTTGATTGACGAGGCTGCCCTTCGGGCCCGACGAATGGTCTTCCTGTTAGTGTTGTATACTGAAAGCTTGGCTTTGCATGTTATTACACATTTACCCTTTATGAATGAGAATCATGTTAGATTAAACAAGTTCTACGTTCTGTTGTTCTGCACTTAGATAGGGTGGGTCGTCATCGGGCGAACCGAAGATCACACTATCAGTCACTTGCGAACAAGAATAGTTGCTCACAACCTAGATGGACATGAACACCCCATCCGAACGGTTGTA